TGTGAATGTGAACTTATGACCGTGAATGCTACATGGGTTGAGCTAAGATGCTCTCATAAATATGTCTGAGAACATAAAGTAATCAAGACTCACAAGCCAAGCATGTAAAACATGGAGTTAACCAGGTGATCTTGCAACACTTGGTAGGTTCACATTACTTTATTCAGAGCTGAAAAAGCCTGCAGTAAACCACCCCCTATTCCAAGCTTTTCCCACATTCTGTGCCTCTCCCTGCTCTCCCCAACACCTCACACAGGCTCTGAGGGTTACAAGCCACAGCAGATCCTCACGTACCACTTACATAACCTGAATGCTTCAAAATTTAACCACACTTCAGTGTTTTTTCTAGGGGCTATCTGCTCTAAGATGCTCAAGATGGACCAAAGTTACACCAACTTCTGGAATTGATAGATCTTCACGTTGTAGGCTGAAGCATAAATTTAACAAACCTGATCTCAACTTGCATCATCAATCCCCCAAGACTCAAAACAAACCACAGAAGCAGTTGGTGCTTCCTGAAAAAAAAAAAAAAAGCCTTCTGCCTACACAAAGCCCAGAACAAGTGGCTGTTAGATTGAGGAGAAAGGAGCGCTGGCAATGAAAATATGAGTCTTAATTCCTTCTCATGGAAGAGCTGGAGTTATTTACTTTTAAGTTTACATAACTTTCTTAGAGGAAGAACTAACATAAACTGATAAACAGTTGAAAGAAACCAAAGGTTGTCTGTCTTTCTGCACAGGATTGATCAAAATGAGAATTTCCTTGGGCACAAGTATTTCAAATAAAACTAGTCAGAAGCTTGCACATTTTTTAAAGACTTATTCTATTGCAAGTGCACATGTAGAATCTCTCTAAATGCTGTGCAGAATTCATAATGTAACTGTGTAACACTGATCCACCAAAACAGTTCTGAGAACTGGCAAAACACTACTTTGTAGCAGTGCTCTAGAGAAGAAATACATCTCTGCAGGAAAGGCAAATTAATGCAAGCATTCAAAAAAACCCCTCCAACTGTAATGATCAAACCCAATAACCTACACTGGGTCATGCTGGCTTTCAGGAAGATCTGTCCAACCAATTTTATGGTGACATCTGCATTGAGAGAAGAATGAGCTCTTGCAAAAAAGTTTATTCAACACAGCTTAATGTTGCTTGTTTAAATTTCGAAAATTAATTCTCCAAATGCTTTCAGAATTCCCACAATCTAATTATTTCTGTAAGAAATAACAAATTATTTTTCACTATGTACAACTTTTCCATCAAAATACATTTAAGGCTACAGTTTTCCTCTAGCTAACAAGTCACAGCAAAACAGCTCAAATACACTTGCAGGAACCATAATTTATACATTCTAGATCTTCCTTACAGAAATCACATCTCTCCAAAAGTTTTAATGCAAACCTACCATTTTTGGCACCATTTTTGACAGATCAACTAAATCATCTTAAAATCAGATTTGCTGCAAACTTGTTTGAGAGCTTTGAAAGTATTCTTGTAGCCAACAGTAATGGGCTCACTGAGAGTTAAGGAGTGAGAGCCACTTTGAGACCCTGAGAGCGCCCTTAAACCTGGAAGAAAACAACCCCTTCTTCAAAACAACACTTCTTCAAAACAGGTGCAATTCATGTTCTGTAGCTGTATCAAACCTGCATTTTCATATAGTGCACATGAAATCAGTAGGCCACTGCACTCTTCCAAATAATTAAAAAAAACCCAACTTACTAACTGCAGTCAATGTACATCGTGGACAATTACAAGACATTTCTGAAGTATTGCTATTTTTAGCATCCATATTCATATCTGTTGCAGTGTGTATGAATTCGAAACAACAAAGTTTGAAGACTGCTTGAGAAAAAGGAACCTTCTGTCTTTTGAATGCCCTCTTCCACTGTTCCATCTCTAGCTTTAACATCACTCTGAATGCTCTCTGGATAGACCTTAGGTAAATATGGAACAGCTAGATTTTATGGAGGTGTTAAAAGTACCAGAAGTGGATACTGAAAGTAGCACACTGGAAGTCTTCTGTGGTGGTACGTAAGGATAAGTGCACAAACTTAACCTCATGAGTTTGCTTTCCTGAATATACAACAAACTGTCTCAGAAATTTGTTTCTGTTATTCTTCCTAGGTTTGAAATATGCTCAAATCTGAAGTCTCAGAGAATGCATCCTCATCTGGACTACCTCTCATGCAAAGATTATTACTGTCTTTAAGTCAGGTTGAACAAGAGAATGCAAAGTTCTTTATAGTAAGATACTCTATAAATTAGGAAAAAAACAACTGGTTAAACATACAGAGAAATGTTCTTCTCAGTTACTTTTGATTACTGTACAACCCATTTGTGTACAAGCAAAACAGGGAACCCCATGCCATTGTCCCCAAGGTAAGAAAAAGCACATCACAGCATGCACCAGGAGCTAGCAAATCTCAATGGATACTTGGGATGACAGATAATCTGGCATCAATTACAAGAATTAAAAAAAAAGAAATCTAGAATAAAACTAATTCCTAAGTATTAAGATCTCCAGGTATACTGCTGCTTTTCCAAGTTTTGGTCCACTTCTACCAAATTTTTTATAAGGTAGAAAAGGTAAACTTAGGTAATGTTTAGCAAATTACTATTTCTTCATTCCTTTAGCTATTCTAAACCATCATACCAGAAGTATGAAATACAATATAAAAATGTAAAACATTAAAAACACAGAACCTACATGGAGGAAGTTATGCTAATATTGCTATGCCCCAGGAACACCACCACTCCAATTTGGCTGTTTCTAGCCTAATGTAATAGTAAATAGCTACCTCCAAGCAAGAAGCAAACTAATCTAAAACAGAAAGACCTCCTGAGGAAAGATGATCAATAAGAGGACAAATTGAAGCAGCCTACGAAACCACCTCTGGAAGCACTCTTAATTGAGAGCCGAAGAGCAGAACCACCACATTTGGGACAAAGGAGCCAGGATCCATAGCTGCTGCATGAGTACAACATTTTCTAAACACAGACTCTACTCCCCACGAAAATGCACCTCATTGTCACAAACAATCCCACTGCAGTCTCTAGCACCAAGTCATTTCCTGGACCAAACTTCACAACCACTCAGGCACACACAAAATGTGTGTTAAGATTTTTACATCCACAGTCAGTGCTGCTGACTTCTGCAATTAACAAAGGGAAACCCCTCCAAATCCCTCAACAAAGTACATGCTTCTTTTCTATAAACACTTTATCAACAAAATGTTTGTCAACAAAATGTCTTAAGGGACATGTCCCCATATGCAAGGGGACACCTGGAAAGTTGCTATCAACAGATGACCCCATACAGCTGCAGGCCTTGATGACTTGTGACTTATTTTAGGAAGAAGACACTTTGTTTTTCACATTTTAACATAAATATTCTTTAAGCAACTGAAAAGAAAGACAATGCTAGTAAAAACAGTTTTAGAAAACTTGACAATGTTTAACTTCATCTAAGAAGAGGGTTCCATTAGAGCATTTCTCACCCCTGCAAAACAAGCTGCACATACAGAAGAGGTGAAATATACAAACTTCAGTTTATCCCATTGTCAAGTCTGCCTTTGTTGTCTGACCCATAGCTACATATTCACAGTTGGAATACATGAATCTGTATCAAAGACTTGCTATCTTAGGTGCAGTTTGTTACAAAACATACACATTGCTTTTGTCATGGTTTACTTGTGTACAGGTTTTCCTACTACTTGTTAGTAAAACCATGGCCACATGGCAGGAAGTTTTCTCTATTTCTATAATCCAAAACTGACATTCTTGGAAAAGGCTTTTTTAAAGAAATAAATGAAATATGGAGATGAAAGACCTACCATCAGCTAAAATTCCAAATCTCATAGCCCACTTTTCTCTTTTTACTTTTACCACTAAATGCAACTATCAGTGAATAAAAGTAGAGGAAAGAGTAAAACAGTGTAACTCAGATTGCTGTAAAGCTGGCTGCTGAGACTATAAAGAATCTACTCATTTCATCAGCAAGAGTTTGGATGAAGCAAATATATTGATATATGCCTTGCCAGTGAAATGAGATAAACAGGTATGTCCAGTTTCTCTATAAAGGCACAGCACATTAGTTCTACACCGCTGCCTACTGGGATCAGACACAGCATTGAAAAGTTCACACTAAACCTGAAAAGCCAACGCTAAGCCTTAAAAGCCAGAGACTCAACTAAGTATCTTCTTTTTAACACACACCCCGCTGCACACACACACACACACACGCTTCCTGGTCATCCTCCGGCAGACCGAACCTTTCCTATTCCTCTCGTTCCCCAACGCCATTACTCGTGCTGTAGTTGTTATTCTGTTGTAAGCTTTAATTGAAGCGACTGTCAAAACACAGCAGCGTTATGGCACTTCAAATTAATGATCTGGCTCCTTCCCCTCTGTAACTCAAAGCGAAGGAACGCTCACGACTCTACCGCACCTGCAGCAAGTTACCTATGCCTACATGTTTATAGTAGCGCCTTCCGAGCAGCTGGCATTGTGCCACCTAAATTTTATAATCGTACGACTTAGAGCCTCTTCTATGGAGCAGAGAGATAAATTCAGCAAGAGGAAACTCCGTAGAAGACATAAATAAATATTGCCCCCCCCACCTTCCGGGGCTAACTAATTTTGTTGATGAAGGCGCATAACCTTCGGCTCCCTCTTTGAGGCCTTTTCCTTGAAAACAAAGAAATCGGTCCCCACTGCCCCCCTCCCCACTGCCGTACGTGGATTTTCATAATTGATTTGTTTGACGAGGGAGGCGATAATCGCAGGGACCAGTTCCTCCGCCTCCCACTCTCCGTGCGGCACCGCTTCCCCGAGGAGCGCCTTCCGCCGCTCCCCCCGCCCCGCACGGCCCGGGGGTGCCCGAGGCCGGCTGACAGCTCCCCCCGCCCCGCTCGCCCCGCGGCCCCGGCGCACAGCGCGGCCCGCAGGGCGCCGGGGCCTGCGGAGGCCGCTCGGCCCGGCCCAGGCCCGGTACTCACGGGGAAGGCGCGGATCCGCATCTTGGTGTCCTTCCGGCTGCCCGTCCCCTTGCTCAGGTTCGACATCTTCGGGTCCGGCGGCGCCTCCGGCGCGGGGCGGCAGAGCCGGGGGACGCGCGGCGGGGCGGTGGACCCGGGAACGGGGCCGGGGGAGGCCGCTGGCGACCTTCGCTGCGAGCGCGGCCCCCGGGGGGCGCGGAGGGCGCGGGGGCCGGGCCGACCGGGCCGGGCCGGGCGGGAGAGGCGGCGGCGCGGGCCCCTCGCTCCGCTGGCGGCGCTTCCTTCAGCCTCCGCCGCGATGGCGGACAAACATCGCTCACTGCGCAGGGCCGGGCGCCCCCCCTTCCCTTCCTTCCCTTCTCTTCCTTCCCTTGCTCTCCTTCCCTTCCTTCCCTCCCCTCCCACCGCCCGGCACTCTCGGATCCGGCCGCGCTGGGGCGGGGGCGGCGGGAGGGCCGGGGGCGGGGGCGGAGGGGGGCCTCGCCGCTCTCGCGAGGTTTCCGCCGCTCTCGCGAGACGTCCCGTCTCCGGCGGGCCGGCACGGCCGCGGCGGGCGGGGAGTGAAGGGCGGGGAAGGCGCGCGGGCGGGGAGGGCGCCGCTGATTGGCGGAAAGCAGCGCCGCGCGAGGGGGGCGGGGCCAAGGCGGGCGGGCGGCGCGTCCCGTGAGGGGCGGCGGGGCCGCGGCTGACGGGAGGGTTTGGTGCCCCGCCGGTGCCGCGGGAGCAGGGAGCCATGGAATCACGGCATCACGGCGTTGTCGGGCTTGGAAGAGAGCTGTAAGACCATGCAGTCCAACCGTCCACTAAGCGCTGCCCCTAAGCGCCTGAACCACATCACCCAGCGCCAGACACAGACGCCTCTTAAACACCTCCAGGAATGGCGACTCCACCACCTGCTCCACATCCCACTCGTCGGGCTCCTGGCAGTTCTTTCATTATGTTTAAAGTGCAAGTTTTGGTGCCACTTCAGGGTTGCGCCGGTGGGCCTCGCAGCTGCTGCAGCCCCGCGGGCAAACGGGGCACGGCCCCGGCCGGGCAGCAGCTGCCCCTGCCTGGTGCCTGCCGTCAGCCTGGCACTGCGTCCCTTCTCCTCTTCCTTGCCCTTGGAAATCTCCCGGCTGCCAGTGCTGCCCCTGTGAATCATGCCAGCGGCAGGCGGCTCCCGCCGCAGAGTGCCGTGATGCAAGGCAGGTGTATTCAGCGGTGCCCTGTGTCTGCACAGTGCCAGGGATACTCAGCGATGCCCTGTGTCTGTGCAGTGCCAGGGATACTCAGGGTGCCCTGTGTCTGCGCAGTGCCAGGGATACTCAGCGATGCCCTGTGTCTGCGCAGTGCCAGGGATACTCAGCGATGCCCTGTGTCTGCACAGTGCCAGGGATACTCAGCGATGCCCTGTGTCTGCACAGTGCCAGGGATACTCAGGGTGCCCTGTGACTGTGCAGTGCCAGGGATACTCAGCGATGCCCTGTGTCTGCACAGTGCCAGGGATACTCAGCGGTGCCCTGTGTCTGGGCAGTGCCAGGGATACTCAGCGATGCCCTGTGTCTGTGCAGTGCCAGGGATACTCAGCGATGCCCTGTGTCTGTGCAATGCCAGGTGTATTCAGCGATGCCCTGTGTCTGCGTTGCTGTGAATGCTTGGGAAATGAGGATGCCACCTGAGGCAATGCTTACATGTGCCCAGAGTTAAATATAGGTCGTTCAGCAATGGGCAGCTGCTGTAGAATGGTTAGAAAATGTCAGATTCTGGAAGTTAACAGAGGGCCATTTTTAGAAGTTAGGCTGGTCAGCCAGAAAGAATCTATGTCCCAGATGCCAGGGGCTGACTGAAAAGTTAGTGGGTTTTGAAGTGAAATGTTCATCAAAACATGTCTTGCTCAAGATCCCCTAAAGGAAGGAGGTGGCATAGCCAGGAAGAGGATTTCTTTCGGGTGACTCTTGAAGTGGACTCTGAATACCACGGCACTGTGTGATGCACATTTTACATCCCGCTCCACGTACCTCCATCGTTAGTGTTTTCCACAGGTGCTTGTACACTGCACGTGTTCACTGGGCACAGAAACAGCTTTCCTTCTCTGAGCTAGTTTACCTTCTGTACCAGTGATTTCACCTGTTTGGTCTCTTGGAGCTGGTTGCAAACACTTCCTATTGGGACTATGCATGTTCATATATGACATATTTTTTTAATCTCCTGATCAGAATTAAGTACATACGCCCAGAGTAGGTGTTATACAAGAGCAACACAATAAACAATGATTGCAACATGACTATGCAATAGGAACCAGTCCTTTTCAAAATTACAGTATTGTCAAAATGCAGATCAAACAAGGATGAGATGAGAAGGGAAAGATTACCGGTTGTTAATATGAAGAATATGGCTCACACATTGTTTCAATATAATTTCAATGTCATTTCTCCTCCTAAGTATTTTCTTTGCCAAATGAGGACAACCTCTTATGTTAATGCAGGTTTTTCCCCAGTCCATCCTAACAGTTAGGATAAAATAATTTGAAAATGTTTGACTCTTGTAAAAACAGTTTGCAGAAGTAAAGTAAATTTATACTAAAATGCAGATTTTTCATTTTGAAAATGCTGCAAGAACATTTTTCAACAAATTTAGTGCACTTTTCAAAACCCAAAACTTTCCCCACAAACCATTTTTGAGAAACTGGCATTTCTTCTTTCAAGAAAAAAGAAAAAAACTCCCAACTTTTACTCTCCCCATTACTGCAGATACTCTGGGTTAACTTCTCTAATGATTCCTTCTATGCTTCCTGCCACTGGCCTTATGCTTATGGCAGCCCTGGACAACCTTTTGCCTTCTAAGTTGCTCTTAATGTACATTTTTTATCTAAAAGTAGGAGAGTGCTGACTCACCCTCAGACACTGTTCAGGCTGGCACATAACACCCAACAAAATAAAATTATGCTCCTACCAAGTAATCTCAATTCTCACATCAAATAGCTTTCTTTTACACATGAGTTTATAGCTACCACACACTAGCACAAGTATAGTGATAGCTCTAATTTTATTACTAAATGCTGAATTTGGAGCCTGAGCCTTCTTTTGGTGCAGATTTATGACCCAGTGTGTCACATCTGCTAACACAGATTCCTCTGGAGCTCCTCCTTTCATGTCTGAGGTCTGTTCTGTGACTGTCCAAGGTGAGGACAATTACCATTTTTTAGTGCACATTTTCTATTTCCATACATAATGTACAAAAAGAGGTTTCACTAAAAGCTACCCTTTGCGCTTACACAGAGAACTAACTGAGATGTTTGTTAAGTGCCTATAATGTTAATTCCAGGTGGGTCAAGCCAGAAGGAAGACAGGCTGGTGGGGGAGCACAGATCAGCACAGGAAGCGTGGTGCACCCTATGGCTTACCCAGGTCACCCCAGCTGTGTCCCAAACACCTCATGTCCTTCTGTGCTCCAGCCACAGGGAGGGAATGCTTCTTGTGCACAGGAGGGTCACCCTGCTGGAAAGTTCACATGTGAGCATTGAGCAGCCTCAAACCCAGCTTACAGCAACCACAACAACATGCAGAGCCATGAACACCCCTGGAATCATTTACCCTAGTGCAGAGAAGAGCTCAGCATTATCCTAAGAAGTCATTTACAGTTTGGGTTTGATTTTTTTCCTGAAGTCCTATCAGTCCTCTGATTTTAGGTACTGATGATCTCATTAAATGATAGGGGACATTGCTTAGGTGCCTGCCAGTCCACACAGAACATCTCCACCTGAATAACATGTCACCACACCAAAGGGATGGCCCTTTGCGTTGACCTGTATGTCTTGAAGGTCACAGCAAATCTTTAATTATTTAAATACTGGGTTTATAATCTGATTTATATCTTAACGTATTTAATCATATGAAAGGCATCAGAAATTTTAGAAGAATGTAAAGAGCACATTATATTGGAATTGATCTAAATGTACATTTTTATAATTAGGCCTTTAGGCAGAACATAGCTTGCATTAACTTCCAGAAAAATATTCAATATATACCTGTGCAAATATGATTTCTTTATTTCAGATTGTGACTTTCTGCTTTGTAAGGCTTAATTGTGCTTCACCAAAGCCAAGAACTGTGATTTTTTTTTTTTAAGTAATCATCCTTTCCAAGGAATCATGCATGTGTGTTCTCAGGTCTTCCTTACACAGGGGTGAGGGACTGAAATACAAAAGCATAAAGAAAAAAGTATTTCTATTATCACAGAAGGATGCAGAATGACCACATCCTGGTCTGCAGAGCACCTAAATGCCTGACTGCAAACTCAGGAACAGGCATTTCAGGCCTTGAACTCACTGTAAGGTAGAAAAAAAAAATCCTTATGTGGGGGAATGAGTGAGATCCTTCCCGGTAAAGCCCAGATTCAGGAGGAGGGCTTTCCCCACCCCGTTCTTTATTTTTTTTCCACTTTTTTTTTTTCCCTGTAAGTGCCTGCATCACTTTGCACGTGATGTTTGCTTTCAGATTTGCATAATTGATACATGACACAGTAACCTTATACAAGACAGTTCAAGCATCCGATGAACCACAGATGGGCTTTTAATTGATTATATTGAGGATTCTGCCAAAACCAGAATGTTATTCTAAATCACTGAAAGAACAAAAAAAAGCTCAGGACACCCTGATAAATGTATACTTGTAATGCTTTAATTCCTTCCCTGCAAATCACAACCAACTTACTGATTTGTGTTCAGAGTTCCTAGATTTCAGTAGGTACAGGGACAATATCTTCCTGTAGAAACAGGATCAATATTCAGAAATATGATTTACCAGGACACTATTACATTTCTCTTTGAAGAAACAGAACAATTTCAAGGCATAACGTTTCACATTATTATTTCTCTATCCATTTAGAGACTTTTTTTTTCCCTTTCATGTATGTCCTGGATGAAGAAAAAACTTGGTTTTATCTTCCTCAATCACTATTTCAGAGGAGTTTAGGCAGAGGTATAATTCACTGTAATAAAGCTACTTGCATTTCAGGTAGATCTGTAAATTTGGAGTTTGGTTTTCCCCCCCCCTTATTACTTCCTTCTCTGGAATAACGTACAAAATATTTTGTTTACTTTAACAAGGAGCACAGTTGGGGTTTATTTTTTGTTTTGTTTAGGGTCTTTTTTGACATGGTCAGAGTGGCTGAGAGGCCTGGGGGTGCAGTGAAAGGCTGTGGAGTGGCAAGACAAGAAGGAAAACAAGCAGCATAAAGTTATTTGCTTGCTCACTCATGGAAACTTGTTGCTTGGAACATTTGGCTAGGATGTGTTTAAATTTAATTTCTGCTGCATTTAAATGCCACCACAAACACAGTAAATGCTAAAATATGGCAGTCTAAATAACTCAACAGTTTCAAAATTAAAACAGACTAAATTACTTTCAAATATTTTTGCAAGCAGGAAGGGTTGTTGAGGTACTGTCTCAACCCAGTTTTCTCTGTTCCTGCCCTGGCTTACGGACAGAGCCCTTGCTGCTGGGCACAGCTGAAG